GGATGGATGGATGGATGGATGGATGGATGGATGGATGGATGGAAAGTTGAGTACGTGGATGGATGGAAGGAAGGTGGATGAATGCTTACATAGATGGTAGGACTGAAGTCTTAGAGGAGGTGACCCCAATAGGAATTCCCACATAACAAACCCAAAGAGGAGGATAAAATTGTAAGGAGTTAGAGCTTGTTCAAGTTTCCACCAAGATAAATCATATCATGGCATAAAACGGATCCTGTCTCCCCACCAGGAAAAGAAAAAAAAAAACCTCAAATAGCAAGCATCTACAAAAGGAAGAGAAAGCAGAAAGCATTTGTGCAGCTTTACATGTATTCTGCACGATGATGTGCCACACAGTAAGTGGGAGGAGTGGTTAGCATGAGCAGATGAGGAAACCGTTCTCCGTTCTCCGAGGCTGATTTCCACCTCCAATGCCCCTCCCCAGGGTGGGGGGGGGGCAGTCTTAATCCGTACATATAATTCAGCCCTTCATTATCCATTTTTCCTGGATTTATCCGACCTCCCCATGTCTACTGGAAATTTCTGGAATGCAGGGCCCAACAGTGCTCGCTGTATACCATAAAAGGTCCTCTCCAAACACTTAACCATGCGTGGTGGAAAAACAGCCATGTTTTTAATAATTGATACTCCAGCTTGAGCCATTGAGGAGGTCGTGGTGGCCTTGCTGTGGTGTGATTCAAGTGTTTTACGGCTCCTTTCAAGTTTCCTATATTTTAGAAATTTCCTGTAATGAGTATGTATTGCTTTCATAATGAAAAACAAAATATTTGTGGATTTGGCTTCCTGGAATGAGCATCCAGGGCTGAGAGCCTATCTAGCATTGTGACTAATACTGCTCATGAGCTAAGCACACCTCCCCACTCCCTTTCAGCTCCCAGCTCTTCCCAGAGAGAAACAAACTGGGCCATCAATTACATCAGGATGGAACTGGGACCCACGGTCCCTGGGGAAGCTGGGCTGTCCCACCCCCCGGGTCTGGGTGAACCCATTTCCCCCTCACTGCCTCTGCCTTCCTTCGTTGGGTGCCGCGTCCCAGAGAATCCCAAGCTCCCCTGGTAAATGCCCGCCCTGGGGGTAGCCAGGATGAGGGGAAGCAAGAGCAGAGCGAAAAGCCAATGCACTTTGCCTCTTCACTGCCTCCTGACTTCCGTTTCTCTGAGTGTCCCTGACGTTTCTAGGGCACGAATCCCCTGGGGGCACCAAAGGAATGATGTCAACGTTGTACAAAAGCTGACAGACGCTCTGGACATTCTTCTCACCTGACTCACTTAGGCTGGGGAGAGGAGTTGACAGAGATGTCACGGTGCAGCTGGAACCTATGAGATGTGGGTCTCCAGGCAACTGTGTGAGCTGGGCATCACCGGAAAGCCCCAGCTCTGTGGAGCATACCTATCGCTGAACGACTCAGGGGCCTCGCCTTCTCTCCAATAACTACTGAGTGCTGGACACCACTTTTAAATGGGGACGGTAGTAGTCTCTGCTCCAGAGTTTACGAACCCAAATAATGACCCCGCTATTACTACTAGTAGGAGTAACAGTAAGGTTGCCGTGAACATGGCTAAACACTTCCCATCAATCACCTCTGACAACATCCATTCCAAAGATGAGCAAACCGAGGCACACATTTCTTGGTCCAAAGCCACCCACCTGGTAAGAGACGGAGTCTAGATTTAAACCCAGCAATGCAATTTCATCGATTCTGCTTTTAAATAGTGAAATGCCTTGTTCAAAATTTATATGAAAATATTCATATAATTATAAAGGTGCCTTGCCCCAGAGCATTTTTTTTTTTTTAATCATTCTTTGCGTTCTTACTAAAGTGTACCTGTCATGTTGATAATTTGCTATTCGGACTACTGTTGGGTTCTCTGCTCCATGTCTGCACTAGATCGGAAGCTCTGGGAGGGCAGGGGTGTGCCCGTGTGCTCTGCCGAAGTGTCAGCCGTTAAAGCAGTGTCTAGAGCATAGTAAGGACTCAGTGTGTATGAATGAATGAATGAATGAATGAATAGAACAAAAAGGATTTTCCACCCACGTCTAACCGCAAGAGTCCCAGTCTGCTCACCTCCTCCAGTGTGGCTCCTTTCCAAGTCACTCAACTGAATTTTCTGCTGGGCTTCTTCCAACTGCTTCTGCACTTCTCCCAAATTCTTCTGGACTTGCTCATACTTGCTCTGGAAGAAAGGCCTTGACGTGTCAAGCTGGAGCTTGATAGAGCCTGGGCCTCGCCATCCACCACCCCCAGCCCCGTGGTGCCTCCAGAGCCAGGGACTGTCTAGCCCTTGCATAGTGCTCATTCAGGGCACCTCCAAGGCCAAGCCTTAGGAAGACCCAAATGTCCTCCAGGACCTTGAACATGGGAGTCTGTAAACCAGCGCATCTTGCTTAGGCTTACTGCTCCCACCTGCGAGCAGATGGGGAGGGGGGCAGGCCCAACCACTCCCAGCCACCCTGCTCAGCCAAAGCCACACACCCCCGCCACCCCCTGGGGACCACTCACCTTCAGCTCCTGGACCTCCCGGAAGGCACGTAGCCGCTCTGCCTGCTCACTCTCCAGCACCTGGCAGGCCACATCCCCTTTGAAGCGCTCGTCGGCGAGCTCTGTGGTCAACTCAGCAATCTGGAATCACAATCTGGAGTTACAACAGGGTCACTCGTGGGGGGCCGCCACCCCTTCTCCCCCCATGCCCCCTCCACAGGACCACCCGTGGACAAATCATCAGCTCTCGGTGTGATGAGGTGGTTAAGAGGGTGGATGTCAGGTTTTTACTGGTCTTGATGTGCTAGAATTCTTGGCCCATCACTCACCAGCTGTGTGACTGTGAACCCGGCAGGATGCCCACCTGATCCTTAGTTTTCTCAACTTTAGAGGGTAGGGGATAACTTAATAGAATTGTTTTGAGAATTAAAGGAGATCATCCACATAAAGCTTAGCCCAGGGCTGGCACATAGTAAGTACTCAATTTAGTAAGTTGTTCTAGCAGAAACTCTCCTTACCTAAGCGAGCCATTTTGCTCCCAGCAGGCTCCCCTCAGTAAGACACACAGGTGCCCACCACATAGGAATGCCCTCAGCTAGAAAACCTCTCTGTGGGGGTGCCTGCGTGGCTCAGTTGGTTGAGCATCTGCCTTTAGCTCAGGTCATGATCCTGGAGTTCCAGGATCGAGCCCTGCATCGGGCTCCCTGCTCAGCGGGAAGCCTGCTTCTCCCTCTCCCCCTCCCCCTGCTTGTGTTCCCTCTCTCGCTGTCTCTCTCTCTGTCAAATAAATAAAATCTTAAAAAAAAAACTTAAAATTCTAATTCAAATACATTTATTTTTCAAATAGTTGCAGGTGCAAAAACTATGGGAAAAAAAACAATACAAAATTAGGCTTCTGTAATCAAACAAACTCTCATTAAAGCAGAACCATTTGTTCTGCTTTAATGAGATCAAAAGTGGAAATCACGTAGTCATGCTTTAAGAAAGGAAGAAGTGGGTCTGGAGTCAGGTGCTCACACTCTACAGGCTGTGATCCTACCTCAGAAATACAGTGAGTTAAGGCAGTCCTGTTTCGAGGCAAAAAATAAAAACACCTCTCTTTTAATGAATTCCCACTTGCACTGACTTTTTTTTTCCCATCAACGACCAACTACAGATACCAGATGGGTCAAGGCTTCTGGGCTATAATTTTTCCAAAGTGCAGCCTTCCAGGTTCAAGGATATGCCAAAGCAAGTGAGGAGAGAAACAGATATACGTGGACTGTTTATGACTAAGAGGCTCAGAAATGACCTGACACAGAAGGGTCGTTCGGGAAACGGAGCCTCCCTCCATGGAGGGCAGTGGTTAAGATACAAGGAAGGAAAAGAAAAAAAAAAAAATAGAAGGTACAGAGTTCAAGTCCAAACACAACCCCTAACATATTCTGTGACCTTGGACGAATCTCTTCCTTTCTGGGGCTGTGGTCGCCTGAGCTGTAAAATGTACTGCATCGGGGAAGGTCTATTGTCCTTGTGGCATTCCCATCTCATGCCATAAATGTTGTGCATGAAGATGCCTAAACACTTCCTTTCCCATCAGACCCAGTGCGTGGCACTGAGAAACGACTGGGGGGTGTTGTCACAGACGCTAAGTGGTCCTTCCAGCATGGAATCCAGCTGTCCTCCCGAGCTGGTCACAGGCAGTCTCAAAAATCATTCCTCTGCCCCATGAAGAAGGAGGATGAAGATCTATACATTTTGATGTGAAAAAAAAAAAAAAGTCCCCAAGATATATTGCCAACAGGGCGGGGGGAAAAAAGCAAAGTTGCAGAATAGAATGTCTGGCATGTTCCCATTTTTGTTTTGTTTGTACTTGCACAGAAAAAGGCACTCCCAGACTGTTAATAGGGATTTTTTTTTTCCTAGAAGGGTGGGTTCACAGGGGATTCCAATTTCCTTGTGATGCATTTCTGTACTGTTGATTTTTTAACCATTTTCGTCATCGGCAAAACACAAAACCAAATAAATATCTTTTAAAAAACAGACCCCCAAAATTGAGCTACAAAAACAAGGGTTGTTGCTCTAGAACATTCTATGCCGCCCACATTTTTTTTTTGCCCCTCCTCCAGCCCATTGGCTACCCATCTTGGTGACCACACCAGTGAGGGCTCAGACCGAAATGCGCATTTCAATTGAAACAGGGAAAAACAGGAGGCTTAGGGGGGAGCATTCCAAAGTCACATAGCAAGTGAGTGACAGAACTGGGACTTGAACCCAGATGCCTCCTGTCCAGATAACGGTCGCCACTTCACAAACCAGGGGCTCTCTCTCCCAGGGCGGTCCTGGCGGTCTCTGGGGTGGGGCTTCCTGTTGCTGTTCCTTATGCTGGTACCTTTAATGTGCTCTGGGGAAACACTTTTGCAGTCCCCTGGGATGGTCGTTAAAATGTGGAGCCCAGGATTCCCAGAATGCCCACACCATCGTAATCTTCGGTGGGACCCAGGGATCTGAATTTCAACACACTCCACAGTTATTCTTAAGCGCAACCAAGTTTAAGAATTACTGCCCTAGAAATTGCCAGAATCTCTTCCTAATCTTGGCTTCCCGCTTGGCTTGAGATGGGTTAGACTGGCTTACTTATAGGTACACAGCAACACTGCCTCTGGGGGAATGATCATTTGCGGTGGGCATGAATACGGGCTGGAGCAATCCAGGGACGCCCCAGATCACGCCCCTCACCCCCCGCCTCCCCATCCCCGAGATCAGCAGGATTGTGTTCTCCCTGCCTTAGCCAATTAGTGTGAAATTTAATCTGTGCTAATCAGCCTGAGCAAAGGGAGCACAAAATTAATTTAATGCATTAATTTTGAGTTCTACACAACCCAAGTCTAGAGCCCAAAGGATAATTAATGCTTTCAAATTAGGGACATGACAGATGCTTTTCACAGAGACAAGTAGCCCCCGATCTGTCCCTGTCCCCACCAACCCCTCTCGCTTCCTACATTTCGGGGCCCACAGGCTTTATCCATAGAGGTGAGGGGTGGGCACCATGCCCAGAGCTATTTAGGTGAATATAAAATGAAAACCAATTTAATGAGAGGAGAGCCTGGTTGGCAAACCCAGAAGGATCCTTGCAGATTACTCAAGGATCAATTAACTAGAAATTATTCCGAAAACCTCCCTAGATCCACCCCTTAAGCCAAATCATCAGAAATTCTCTTTCTCCTTAGGGACAATGACTCCGAAGATCTGTCAAAGAGAAGGGGATAGAAATGAATGAATCTGTGGTACATTTTGCATGGAGTCAAATAGAAATAATATCTATCCTGCTCACTGGCATCATTTGCAGTTTGAGAGAAACAATGGGTAACGAGTAATGTTGATGGACATTAAATGCTGAGCACACATGGGACCCTCTGGGCTGTCACTGTCACTTGTCATTCATTACGTGAGCACCAACTGTGTGCGAGGCCCTGCCTTCAAGGATCCCTCTGCTGAGCTGGGGAGATAAAACCACATGTAGAGCATCCATGTGTCTTAGCTCAACCTTGTCCTTGGCTCTTATATTCAAGAGCTCTCAAAACTCCCCAAATGATCTTATCTACAGAGAGCAAGCAGTGGCCTTTCATGGTCTTCCCAGTACGTTTCAATTTGATGAAAAGAATTGGTTCATTATAAGCCCTTGCAGAAGAAAAAGCTCACTGAATGCTGGGGAGAGACATTTTTGTCATTCCCTGTTCACAGAACAGAAAACTGAGGCATTGAGTCGTGAAGTGATTTTGTTCAAGGTCATGGTGGATAGGTCCCACGGGGAGTCCAGTGCCACTCCCTAACCTCCCCATGCACATGAGACCCTCCAACCACCAGGACTGCAGGGGCTGACCCAGGTCCCCGCCCTCTGTCCCTGTTCTTGCTGTGCCCTCCACCTGGAATGTCTCCTTAAGTCACCTGGCCGGCTCCAGCTCAGCTTGAAGGATGAGCCACTCCCTGACCTGATTCCCAGTCCGAGGAACTGTTGCTCATCTCTCACTGCCTGTTTGGAGTCAGCCCGGACCCAGGGTCAAAGCCCAGCGCTGCTACTCACCAGCTGTGTGATATTGAACAAATCACTTCCCCTCTCTGGGTCCTCACTGTCCCCCTCTAGAGCACAGGGGTACTAATCATACCTTCCTGGCAGTTTGATGGGAAGGTAAAATGAGACAAAGCAGGTAAAGGGGATGCGTCGCGACACCCGGCACAAACACGTTGCTCATTAAACAGTACTTTAATTACTCAATCCAACGTGATTTCATTCCTTCCTTTCGTTGGCATTGAGTGCTTTGAGGGGTACAGAAAGAGCTAAGATGCAATCACATATATGTTAGTGGTGGTGGTGATGTGTGAAGACGTGCTGTGTATGAGACTTTATACGCAGCCTTCATACCACCCTGTGGAGAAGAGTATGGAGGGCGCCTGGGTGGCTCAGTCGTTAAGCGTCTGCCTTCGGCTCAGGTCATGGTCCCAGGGTCCTGGGATCGAGTCCCACATCGGGCTCCCTGCTC